GAGTAAACCAGCAGAGCATTGCATCACCCCAGTAAAGCTGTAGATTTCATCACATGCACCAACAAATCTACATGGCTCGTTTCTGCACTCCTCTTTTAAAGAATTTTACACCTATTGTACCAAATGGCATTTTTAAAAAATTAATTTATTTTATTTTTTTGGCTGCATTGGGTCCTCATTGCTGCACACGGGCTTTCTCTAGTTGCGGTGAGCGCGGGCTACTCCTCGTTGCGGTGCGTGGGCTTCTCATTGAGGTGGCTTCTCTTGTTACAGAGCACCGGCTCTAGGCATGCAGGCTCAGTAGTTGTGGTACGCGGGCTCAGTAGTTGTGGCTCGCAGGCTCTAGAGCGCAGGCTCAGTAGTTGTGGTGCACAGGCTCCGTGGCATGTGGGATCTTCCCGGACCAGGGCTCGAACCCATGTCCCCTGCATTGGCAGGTGGATTCTTAACCACTGCACCACCAGGGAATCCCCCAAACAGCATTTTAAACACGGACATATCAACTCCCTAATAAAGCAAAAACAAAGGCATTTCCCTTACTAGAAACAAGATACACCATCACTTAAAGTCTTCAAATATTATTGCACTTTAACTTTCAGGATTTGACAATGCATTCAATGAACAATCTGCACACAACTAGTTTTAACAGACATTAAAAAACACTTTCAAGCAGACATGGATGTCCTAAACTGTTTATTAGCTAAGAATTTTACAAACATTACTTATATTAGCGGTAGCGGTGGAGCTGGAGAGTATTGCGCCTTCTCCAGGCTGCGCAGCGAGAACCACCGATCGTGTCGTGGAACTTGTGGCCCTTGCCAAGGCCGCGGCTCTTCCTGCCTGCAGATGTCAGCCCCCGCATCTCCCTGTGCTTGTGGACTGGTTTGGTGATCCACTGGGTGTCAGGGTGTCTTCTGATAGCTTTATGGAATGGATCAATGAGGATAACCTCAAAAAATTTGTACGTAGAATCTTCACCAACACAGTAAGAATTCAGGACCCTCAGGGCTCCACAGTGGCGTCCAGCTCGCTCCTCGGCAACAGACTGAAGACTTCGAGCAAACGAGCTGGTTGACACCGTGGTGGACAGGCGTGCTGTAGGTGATACCCTTAGGAACTGGGCATTTTTGGCCACCGCGGCGCACACGAATCCGACATATGGCATAACCTTGCTTGGCCTTGTAGCCCAGCCTGCGCGCCTTGTTGGGCCGGGTGCGGCGGGGCACCCGGAGCAGCGCCGAGAGCTGGCGGTACTGCCGGCAGCGCACCCTGAGCAAAAGTGCATCGCATCCGACTGCTTCCTCCTCCATAGCTCCTGGAGGTACTTGTAAGCGCGCATCTCGGCTCACCTGATGGCTGCCGCCAGACAGAAAGGCGAGTCATCTTATTTTGATTTGGAAGTTTTTTCATGTCAGCCAGGAAATGAAACCTGAACATTTTCTCTTGAAAATTAATTCTTAACAAGAACAAAAATTAACTTTTGCCCAAAGGAAAATTAGGAGAGAAAATGAAAAGAAACGTGTTTGAAATGGTGGTGGTTTCATTGTCTTTTTTTGTTTTTCTTTTTTTTTTTAGCATCTTTATTGGAGTATAATTGCTTTACAATGGTGTGCTAGCTTGTGCTTTACAACAAAATGAATCAGTGATACATATACATATGTTCCGGTATCTCTTCCCTCTTGCGTCTCCCTCCCTCCCACCCTCCCTATCCCACCCCTCCAGGCAGTCACAAAGCACGGAGCTGATCTCCCTGTGCTATGCGGCTGATTCCCACTAGATATCTACCTTATGTTTGGTAGTGTATATATGTCCATGCCTCTCTCTCACTTTGTCACAGCTTACCCTTCCCCCTCCCGATATCCTCAAGTCCATTCTCTAGTAGGTCTGTGTCTTTATTCCTGTTTTACCCCTAAGTTCTTCATGACATTTTTTTTCTTAAATTCCATATATATGTGTTAGTATATGGTATTTGTCTCTCTCTTTTTGACTTATTTCACTCTGTATGACAGACTCTAGGTCTTCATTGTCTTTTTGAACTTTATGTCAGACTTAAGTGAACGATATTGGAAGCCCCCTTCTCTACCTTGTTTCAAATGAGCCGATTTTATTCTTGGTTACTCTGATCAATTTTATGTCCAACTCCTTGAAATACCTGGGCAAATGCACTAGAACCAATGGACAGCAAGCACCCTATTTCTCAAAGGCCTAAGTCTGTGGATTTTTGCTGGTAAGTGGAGACCATCAGCCAGTGCCGCCTGGCCAGGTCCCTGGCAAAGCTGAATTGTCCTCTTCATGCAGTGGATTCTGCAGTTGGCTTTGTGACTGGGGAGCCCAAGAGAATGAGTTGCAGGTGTGTCAATTAACAGTCCTTTCTCCCTGGAGTGCTCTCAAAAAAATGATGGCGGAAGCCACATCGATAACAGATGATAGAATCGCTTATCATTGCTAATGGGAAAAACATCACAGAAGCTAATGCAAAAACAGTCACACGCACTGCATTGGCACCTCCCAAATAAGATGTGGAAACACCTTCCAGCTCCTACGGTAGCAGCCATGGCCAAATTCTCGTTACAGCCCAGAGTATTTTCCTTCCTGAGTCATACGTCAAGGGCCTGAGATCAGATTCCAGACCCACCCCACGCTTCTCCCCATCACCTCCACTCTTGTTTCTACCATCTTCATCATCCACCATTTTTGTACTGAGCACTAACAAATAGGTGGAACTGAAAGAGACATTATCTAATATTTCAAAGGAGTGTAATCGATCAAAAATGGAGACAACAGGCATCTTCTACAAGCCCTGAGCCAGTATCATTTATAGCAATCCAGACAGCACAGGGAAATGATCGTGCTGTCTTAGCCACTCTTGGCTTCACAGGTAGAGTGTAAACACTTCTTTCCAGTGTATTTTTGTATCACATGAACAGCACCTTCTTTTAAGTTTTGATACAGTGGTTATTGGTGACTGATACTCAATGGAGTGTGAGGAATTCCCTTTGTCTAAAGATGGTGCCCCCTGTTTTGAGCGTGCAGGTCTGCTCATGTGAAATAGAATGTGTATTTAATAAACTGGCTTGGGTGACCATTTGCTTTGTCAAGAAGAGATGTGAGGTTTAAGAAAAGGTTCTTGTCTGATAACAAATGATGAGATTGACTGTCACCCACCTGTGTTGAAGAACTGTTACCTTCCTCTAATGTAGCTCAAGACCCTTCCTTCTCCCCCTCACAAGGCACAGAGAAGAACTGAAGACCTGGTGTGTTAAGGGCTTGATCAGAAGCCTCCTTGACAGTAGAGCCTTGAATTTCTTACCCACCAGCATCAGAGCCTCCTCGTAAGGGAATTATCATCACCTTGAGATAGCTCTCCTGCTGTATCATGGGAAGAGTGTAAACTTAGCTGAGATTGACCATGCTTATGTTTTTCATAGAGAAGTAAAGTTTTATATAGATATAAAACTCACTCTATACCAGGGACCTCAGGAGCAGGGCACCCTGGGGGCAGGAGGAGCCTGGGAGTCACACAGACATTGTTTGAATCCTAGCTTTGCCACTTATTAGTTGTTTGGCATTTTCAAGTCTCTCATGACAAAATAGTTATAATACTAGACTATTTGTATTGTTACAAATATTAGCTACCATTTATTGAGAACTTAGATTGTGCCAGGTCCCCAGCCCCAAACCATTATTATAAATGATGTCACTTAATTCTCACCATAATACATGAATGAGGTAGGAATTATTATCTCTACATTAAAGATGAGAAACTGAGGCAGTGTATTGCCCTGGGTCACACACCTAGTGAGTGGCTGGCATCATGCTTCAATTCCAGGTCTGTCAGACTCCAGAGTCTGTGATAATGTGAAATTAAAAGGGTGCCTGGTGCAGAGTGGGTGCTTAACAAATGCTGGTTCTTTTTCCTTCCATGAGCATCCTTTGGCTTTGATAGAGCTTGATTTCTGTGTTAGATTTCTTTATACATAATGTTCTATAGAGCACATCTGTCATACTGCCCTCCTGTGGTTCATTTGGATAACAGTGGCTTTTAGAAAACATTTAATCGGAGTGTAATGCACATGCAAATAAGTGATATTTAAAACATATCTCTAAAGTCACCTAAGTGTATGAGTACTTTTGGAGATAATATGATTCTACAACCTCAGTATGTAAGAAATATGACTTTTTACTTTCTACAGTCCAACTTAATTTCTAACTCTGAGCCCCACCCAGCTGGTAAGATACTGAAGTCACTTTTGTATCTTCTCTGGCTTCCCCAATGTCCTCCATTCTCTTGGCTGTCTTGGGAGAGAAACCTTCTCTTCCCTGGCATACAGTATACGATGAAGCTTTGTCCTGCCATCCTGTCAAGAAGGGAGGAATTTTTCTTGCAATTATTTTTTCCATCCAACTGTTCTGTGTACAGAGACATTTAACCCACTGGGGAAGTCTTCAACTTTCACTCTTAAGAGTTCAGATCACCAGGGAGTCAAATGTTGATTCTGTTACCAGTTTAAATGTTAGAAAAATTTTCCAGGAAGAAAATAAAAAGTTTCGCTATCCCCACTAATTAGGAGCCTTAGGTTCCTAAGTGAAACTTATTCAGAGGTGTCTTTTCATGTACAGGGAGGGGCTCCACCTACCTGGGTTCATTCTCCTGTGTTACACAAAGTTGCATGCATGCATTTGAATCCTAGTCATTGCTCAGCACAGGGCTCTATCCCAAGCAGTTCCCCTCAGGGGCCTTCCTTGTTTTTCAGTGGCCCTCTCCATGGAGGATTTAAAGGTCTAGTGTCAGACATGTGCCGTGCTGAGCCCTGGTTATGCCCTGGGATGGAGGGTTGTGTTAGGTGGGAGGAGGGTAGCTGCTATGGGAGAGGGGAAAGAGGAATCTTCTTTCTTAGTTCCTAAGCACCATTTAATAATAACATGCATCCAAGTCTTTTGTTCTTAAATATATCTAATAGTTAGCCTTGTCCTCATGCCATGACCTAATTGTGTTTCAGATAACGGTGGGCAGACATTGGCAGGGGGCAATAACTGGCCCCTTCGAGGAAGAAAGTGGAGCCTGTGGGAAGGAGGCGTGCGAGGGGTGGGCTTTGTGGCCGGCCCCTTGCTGAAACGGAGGGGCGTGAAGAACCGGGAGCTCATCCACATTTCCGACTGGCTTCCGACCCTGGTGAAGCTGGCGGGGGGCAGCACAGAGGGCACCAAGCCTCTGGATGGCTTCGATGTGTGGAAAACCATCAGGTACCTGCCCACCTGTCTCTTTTCCCTCCCAGGACAGAAGCTCTAAGAACAGCTTGACTTGATTGAGAAGGATCGCTTTTGCATGAATACGATAGTTCAGCTTGCAAATAGATGATTGAAAAAGAAGAACTGCCTTTAGAAATACTGTAATTATATATGTATATATTTTTAAGTTCTGGATTTGAGATTGGGGGGCCTGTGTTTTCTATGAGGAGCAAGATAGTCCTCTGTGGCTCACCCTCCATGAGAGGTCTTTAAAGTGGAAGCTGTGCTAAGAAGTAGGATAGGGTATTGTTTGCTTTCTGCAGAGGGTCAGGGGACCTGCCCTGTTGCCTGCTAGGAGAATGGAGGACCAACCAGGGGGAACAGCTGGAATTTGAGTGGGGGAGCAGCTGTATACCCTTATTACACAATAAGTACCTAATGAGCACCTACTATGTACCAAGCTCTGTTCTAGGTGTGGAGGAACTAGGAATGAACAAGACAGGCACCATCCTGGCTCTCACAGAGCTTATATTCTAGCTGGGGAGTCGGGGGGGCGGGGGGGGGGTAGGAATAAACAAGTAAACCCATAAATAAGTAGATGACGTCCCATAATGATCTGCACTAGGAAGGCAGTAAAATAGTGTGTTGTGATACCGAGAGCTGGCAGATGGGCAGGAGGTACACAATCTGGGGAGCAGAAGGCAGACTCAGCTTTGGAAATGGTGGCAGGGCCTTCCTGTTTAGCCACCACCATGCCGAACAACGGCCCCCAAAGTGGGGAGGTGTACACACCTGCAAGGGTGCAGGAAGAAAACTTGAGAACTTGTATTTGTAGTTAATTTTATCTCATCTTTTTTAAGTATATATTTTATAAGGTATATAATGTATTAGTAGATTAGTACATATATCCAGCTGATAAACAAATATAAATGTACATATACTGGAGGTATTGTTTCTACTGATGGAGTGACAATGTCTAGTGTAATAGTTTTAAACCTCTGTTGGGTGTTACAGCAAGGGGTAGTGGCTGATTGACTGGTCCCCTAGTGACCAGGGGAAAATGACCTCCTCTGTTTACAGTTTGGATTTTCCCCTTAGATATAAGTGAAATTAAATAATTGAACTAGAGAATGGCCATTTTTATTTATTTATTATTTTTCTCTTGCTTTTTTGTTCAGAAAGCTTTTTTCTCAGCTTGAAACCTGCTAAACATTTATATTTTCTTCTAAGTGTTGTGGTTTGATTTTCTTCCATGTAATTCTTGAACTTGTGAAATGATATTTTGTTACGTGAGGTCAATATCTAAATCAGAGGAATGGGGTTTTTCTCAGATTTTTGAATCACAGAGCTCCTTGAGACTCTGAAAGCTTTGAAGTTACCAAAAAAAGTACCTAAGCATATGTACAATAATTTAGATAGAATTTATTTTTATGATGTTAGATATTGATTACACATTCTTTTCTATGTACACATAGAAAAATATGACATTCTTTGAAAACCTCTGCCTCTCACTCATCTTTAATGCAAAAATTAATACCTACTTTATGATAAAAAGGAAATACAAATTTCCAAGCAAAGCAAAACATGAACTTCAGCTTATCGCCAACTTCCACCATGAAGGCTGTTGAAGTTTGACTTACAGTAGCAGGAGAAAGTTTTGAGTGTTTTGATATGATAACATATGTGTCAGGCTTGCCATCCAATCTGTTTTGAGTTTTTTGTTTTGTTTCGTTTTGGTGGCAAAAAAAAAAGAAGCACACTTGGCTTATTGTGGCTTATAAAAGCACACATGAGCAAATGGAGCTATCGTGGCATACTTGGCCAAATGAGGGTAGGCTTGAGTTGAGAAACAGTTGAATTTATTTTGAATAATTTCCTCTGTTCCCAGATTCACTGAGGTTCTGATCTTTGGCAAAGTGCAAGTCATTGATGTTCATCCATATCACCAATTTTGGACTATAGACCCACATTTCAATCTTAAAATTATCTTTGTCGGAAGTAACGTTTAGGAGTTTGGCACTTGCTTCTGCCTGCCGAGGAATTGGAAGAAGTTTTGCCACCCTTAATTCCAGATTGCAGAAGGTCTTTCCTCAGTGTCAGAGGCATGCTGAACTCCTAGTGACCCATCTTGAATAGAACAGGAGCTCTGCATCCTTCAGCAGCAGACATAATGTTGACTGCAGGGCTGTAACTAGAATATTACAACCAAAACTATTGTCCAAGTACGTGAAACCATGAGAGAGTGGCTTTCCTTTTCTATTTGAAAAAAGTAAAATTTCTGCCCAATGTCTCATCAAGCATTTCAAGACTTTCCTCTGGAAATTCAGCAAATTTCTGTTCAGTAAGTGAAGAACTGCTCTCATTCTGCTCCATTTTCCTGATAAAAGATCCTGAAAGCAATGATTCAGCCCCCACTGTCCCGATGAAGTTGATGCTTCTCACAACACTAGGCAAGCGTTCATTCAGTACCAGCGGCAGAGCATTTGGCACCCTTGCCGGCCGATGCAGAAAGCAACCAGTCACATTGACGTCAGGAGCTTCTCTTCCAAAGCAGTAAAAACAAATGGACAGCCAAATGTCAGAGATTCTCAGTCAATGTCCAGAGTTCTCGACCTTTTTTTCAGTAAGATATTTACTTGGAAATACCATTTTCAAGATGATGGTAGTTTCTGAACATTTCAAAAAGGTCTCATGAAATAGGAATGCCAGTAATGGCAGTAACAGAGTTGGCTATGCTGAGAGCATCTGTTTCACTAGTTGCGTAGTTATCAATTCCTCTTAGGTCTGCTCCAAAATATTAAATTTTAGAAGAAATAGCCATTCTGGAGTGGGTGACGTTCTTTGCAATCTGAGTTCCTTGACTGCTTCAGTTTTTCATCTGTTCGAAGCCATAGAACATGTTTGTCAATTCTAGGGAACATCGCTTCTCCAAGTTCTTTCTGATTCTGTATGGTTTCTCTGCTTTTCAACTTCATAAGCAGCCTATAGGTTGTTTCAAGACACTTCGAAGGATTTTTAAACTTACTTTATATTTCATTAAATTTATATAACCAAAGCAGAACCGCTAATCATAATGGTAGGAATGTTTTTCCTTTCTAATCAATGGGAAACTCTTCTAGATGTTATAACATCACAGTGGGGACTTCCCTGGTGGCCCAGTGGTTAAAAGTCCACCTGCCAATGCAGGGCATACAGGTTCGAGCCCTGGTCCGGGAAGATCCCACATGCCGCGGAGCAACTAAACCCATGCACCACAACTACTGAGCCTGCACTCTAGAGCCCGCGAGCCACAACTACTGAGTTTGTGTGCCACAACTACTGAAGCTCACGTGCCTAGAGCCCATGCTTCACAAAAAGTGAAGCCACCACAATGAGAAGCCCACGCACTGCAACGAAGAGTAGCCCCCGCTTGCCGCAACTAGAGAAAGACCGGGTACAGCAACGAAGACCCAACACAGCCAAAAATTAATTAATTAATTAAAAAAAAACATGACAGTGGTGACAATCGAATATTACCTGATGATGTGAAATATCTTAAAAACTTAGTATGAAACTATAAAGACTTTCCCCACCTATGGTTTCAGTGTCAAGAGGAATTTTGAAGGGAAGATAAGTCACTTTTCACCCCATTTTCACAAATACCGTGAAACCCAATGAAGTATAATTCTTTCTCTTTTTTGCGGTACGCGGGCCTCTCACTGTTGTGGCCTCTCCCGTGCGGAGCACAGGCTCCGGACACGCAGGCTCAGCGGCCATGTCTCACGGGCCCAGCCACTCCACAGCATGTGGGATCTTCCCAGACCGGACATGAACCCTTGTCCCCTGTATCGGCAGGCGGACTCTCAACCACTGCGCCAGCAGGGAAGCCCTGAAGTATAATTCTTAATGAGCCAAAGTTTAAGAACCTCTGAACTAAAATGATACTTTATTTCAAATATTACCAAGACAGCCCAGACTGATTTTTGAGTAATTATTATTGAATAATAATTTCATTATTATTATTATTAAATATTTCCTTTTTCACTGATTTTTAGTACCACTTTATGTTCTAAGTTCTTATTAGCACTATGATCTGTCTTGGTGCCATCTATTTTAGTCCACTGGCTTAGCTGTTCTTGTGTTAGCACCTCACTGTTGTAATCTATTGTAAACATACCTTTTAGAGTATATTTAAATACCTGGCAGAAATAGCTATTCACCTCCCCATTGTATTTCCTTTACGAAATTTTCTTGACAAGTCCCACTTTTTAATTTTTTCTGATGAACTCTGGGATTATTTCATTAAAAGAAAAGCTTCTTAAAAATTAAATGAGATTAACCATGAAAATTAATTTGGGAAGAATGGAGACATTTAGTCTTCTCACCTGGACACTTGAAGTTGCCCTCTGCTTGCTGATGTTCTTTTCATTGTTGTTTTTTTTTTTTTCTTAATTATTTTTTCTCTACATATTTCATTTTGGATAGATTCTGTCAGTATGCCTTCAAGATTAATTTTTTCTCAATTCCTAATGTTCTGTTAATTCCATCCAGTATATTTTTCTTTTTTTAATCTATTTTTAAATGTGATAAAATACACATAACAAATTTTACTATCTTAGCCATTTTAAGTGTACAGTTCAGTAGTGTTAAGTGTATTCACATTGTTGTATAACTAATCTCCAGAAGCTTTTATATCTTGCAAAACTAAAACTCTATATTTATTAAACAACAGCTCTCTACTTCCCCCTCCCCCCAGCCCTTGACAACCACCCTTCTACTTTCTGTCCCTATAAATCTGAGTACTGCAGATACCTCATACAAGTGAAATCCTACAGTATTTGTCTTTTTATGACTGGTTTATTTCATTTACCATAGTATCCTCAAGGTTCATTCATGTAGCATGTATCAGAATTTCCTTCCTTTTTTAAGGCTGATTAATATTCCATTTATGTGTATACCACATTTTGTTTATCCATTCATCCATTGTTGGACAGTTGTGTTGTTTCCACCTTTGACTATTGTGAATAATGCTGCTA